TGAATTTATGCTAAAATGATTGCAAGGTTATACAATAAATGCTTGCAGCTTCTTTTTAGATCATAGAATTGAAATATTGGAAAATATTTTTTCGATGAAAAGAAATAATGGGTCGAATTAGGATAAATTAAAAGTTATACTAATGTGAGAGCTGATAGATTTTTGTTTATATTGCGGTTCAAAATAGTGGACCTATTTGCTCCTGCAAAAGGACCAGATTGCCAATTTTAGAAAAATAACAAAAAAATCTTTAATTATAAACTAGCTGGGTATTTTACTGAACATAGTAGATTATTGTAGTAGATTTATTTAGCAATCAGAAAAATTACAATATTTCTATAAGCTAAAGTGAGGTATTATTATTTACATCATTTTTACTCAATCACATAATTATATAACTCTAGAATTTTCTATACACGGTCAACCTAATATGGTATTTTTATTAGGTAATTTTGTTGGGTTATTATATTTATATTTAAATATAATAACATAAATCGATAGTTGTTTGTTTGATATGTTTTTATCGTGACATAATTGATTTTCACATTATAATCACCAAATGATGGTGGGAAAGTTAGAAATTGGACCTTGGTGCCCAAGCCTACCCTAATTCTTATTTGGTAAAACTGCACTGTACAAGAGTAACCAGTATACTCATCCAATAAATGAAAGATATTTTAATAATAAAAATTAACACTGCATTTCAATATTTTGAAAATTATTGGCAACACTGAAATTTATTTTAAAAAAATATCACTCAATTATTACAGTTTCGTAAATCAACTTTATTATTTCGCAAGATCTTTAGCGTTATTCCAATCAAATCAACGGAGGTCATATAAATGATAGAATTCATTTCCGAAGACCTTTTATCTCTAAACTCAGTACGCTCGTGCATGTGAACAAACAATTATAAATAAGAAAAAGCCAAGATTTTTTTGCAGATTATATTAGTTGGAGAAATTTCTAAATTGGGAGTTGTCACGAAAAGGGCAACAGGTTGATATAGTAAAGAATTTCATGGTAAAAAGTACTTATTTGAGTTTCATGCACCATTTAATTAGGCTACGATCGCAAGATGTAGTATTAGTGGCACGTTTTCACGGTTTAGTGCTTATTTATGGCTTTATTATTCTTGAAGAGATATTGAGATAATTAGTTCTAACTTCAATTTTTATTCAATTATAATCTCACAATTTTTATTAATTTATCCGGTATTCACAGTGTATCTATAGTAATCAGGAGATACCACTAATTTGTCTAAAGCTACAATATAATTTATAATATGCTTCTTAAGTTTTTATCTGATTTTTGTCAATTTAAAATATATTCAAGAACCTAGTTCTCAAAATATCTATTACACATTAGAATGCAGTCAATGTCATCAGACTAGTTTCAAGAGAAAAATATAAAATTTAGAATAACATCAACCTTTCACTTAGTTAGTATTTGGGTGCATTTTGTAGAAACATAATGCCATTAATTATAAACATTGTGAGTACATAATTTTTAAAACTGTAATTTTTATGTTACATTCATAAACTCTCATAAAAATCCTTGTATAAATTCTGAAAGTGCCATAAGGCATAGTTTACGTAAACACTGTACATTGAGAATATTTTTGGCCATTGTTACATTATATCAAGTGCCAAAATTAGATCCATTTACCAAATATTGTTCATAAATTTGCAGCTTTAAAACTCGTAAAAAGCATTGTGACATAAATTCAGTGCAGGAATTAATTTTAACTTTCCTTGGACGAAATCAGCTGTAGGTGAGAGTAATGAGTACCATATAAAACAAAGACTTCGAAAATAAACAAACTTTCGTTGATGTTATTGTGAATTAATTGTATCATTATAAATTTATTAATACTGCATTGGCCTCATTGCCAACTTGGCATAAGTTACATTTTGTTAAGTGATCTTTTGAAAAATGATTACCTTTCGTTTTCATTTGCATACATAAATAATTTATTTAATTTTGCAAAGTTATGTATATTTAATATATATATATATAATATATATATATATTATATATATATTATATATATATATATATATAACCCGGGCACGCTTTGCTGAGGCTTTTATTAAAATTCACTGTATTGAAAATTGAATATAAAGTAAGAGAGTAACGTTAGATTGAAACTTCTGTAAAATGTTAAAAAATTCAATTTTAACATGATTAACTAGAAAATCTTATTTGATAATGGTCCAATTATCGACATTTCAAGTCATTCTGAACCGTTTGACATCAAAAGTGATATATCGTATACGTGTATATGTGAACCAAAAATTGATTTTTCGTACTCAGCGAACATTTTTCCAAAAAGTTCTAGACCGATTTCAATTTTCATACATTCTAGAAATATTAATACTCTATATTTTATAATTATAGATATTTTTTCAAGCCGCCCTTCTAAATGGTGTTGAAATTCTACCAGACAAGCATGTATCAACACACTTCACCTCACCGCCTAAATTTCCTGATTCAAGTTCAATTGATTTTGTTCTACCTGGAGTAGAAACAATTCATTATTTAGTAGGAGAAATTGCTACCCTTCCCTTGGACGATAAATTTCCCTTAGACCCAGAAGTAGATTTACGACCGCCAATAAAAGAAGACATAATGAATTTTTATAGTGGACAAAATAAACTCAATTGGACAATTTTGTCAGGTGTTGATGATTACATGCATTCTACAAACATAACAAAATTGCATCAACAAGACAATGAAAATGTAAAAGCATTTGAAGAACTTTCTATACAAGAGAAGGATATAAATAATAAGGAAGTTTCTATGATGATCTTAGTCACCCGTACTGGAGAAAATATGAGAAACCAACAATATTCTTTAACGAGAGACACTTTAGTTCATTTACATTCTGAAAATAATTATAAAAGTGAAATATTGCAAAATAATCAGCAAAAGTTACTTAGATTTACAAAACAACATGTTAAGTCAAACCAGTTTGGTAAAATTAGGAGGTATGCAAATGGAAAATTTGTACTTCATCCCAAAAGCAAGAATTTAAGGAAACGACCAAGAAATATTATCAACAAAAGACACTTATTGATTTCTAAAATTTATTATTTATGAAAAAGTAGATAATTTTTTAACAAATTAATAAACAAATAATAACCAACCACAATATAACCAAAACTTATTCCTTTATGACTTTTCAAAAAATATTATTTTAGATTTAATTTTTTTTTATTTTTTTTTTGAATTGACAATAACTAGTGTTGTAGTATGTTGTAAATTATTATTATTAATAACAGTTAGTAACAAAATTTTAATATTCCTTTACAACCTTTTATATATTTTTTTTTCTTTTTCAATCGACAAAAAATAGTGTTGCAGTATTATTGTGAATTATTAATATTAATAACAGTTAACTAGAGGCTTTCCAATTTACATTCCACTAAAGATGGCATAAAATTAATTAATTAGGTTCCGATATGTAATAATAATGTTGGCGTACATGTGTTGCAGCAATGCCCACTTAACGCAATTTGAAATCTTAGCCGAACCTTATCGGAATTTAATATCGATACCGAACCTTACCGGAATTTTGATATCGTTATAAATTTTAAATACATCTTTTGATATAATTTATCTTATCAAGGTATATAAAAGAAAGTCTGTTCACCTTAGACAACTTGCCAAATCTGGTTTTATTTGCTTTAGTTCTTCTAGTAATATTAAACGTAGTTCGTTTTTCATAAAACGTTTTTAAAACTTAATTATTTCTTCATATTTAACTTTATGTTTTCACTTTTTTTGATCAAACACATTTATTTCAATTTTTAATAGGGATTCATCTCGCCGGATATTTTTTTTTAAATTTAAAACCAGAATAATACCATAGATAAAAGAAAAATACTTTAATTTTGAGACAATAATTTGATGATTAATATATAATAAATAAATTTTATCACTTTTATTTTTTTAACCTTTTCTCGTGTAGTTGGTATTCATTATTTTTGTTCAAAGTTATTGTTACTGTCTTCATTCTATTTAAACTTTTTTAACTGAACTTTAGCAAATATCAAGTGTTTAAAGGTATAAAATAATAAATTAATTATATTAAGTAATCTATAAATTATTATCAATAATTTTAGTAATGGTTTTTATGTAAAAGAGTAATTTTGTGACAATAATTTTTATGCCTTTATAATTTTTATATTTTGAACTTATTTAAGGTTGGTATTCAGTGTGTATGTTTAATGTATATATAATTTTGTTGTTATATATTATTTATAAACTAGAATGTTGAATTTCAATTTTAAAAGGAGATTCACTTAAAATAGATATGTACAACTTTTCTTTAATTTGAAACCAAAAAATGCTATAATTTTGTGACTATTATTCTGAACTTTTTCTCATGGTTGGTATCCATTATTTTTGTTCAATTTATATATATAATAGAGTGTTATTTTTATTTATAAATTATAATGTTTAAATTTAAATTTTAATTGAAAGATTCAATTGTGGATTCAATTACTGTATTATGTCATATGCAATTTTTTTTTATAAAACCAAAAAACGATATAATTTTGTGACAACAATTTTGAATTTTTTCTCATGATTGGCATCCATTGTTTTTGTTCAATTTACATATTATGTTGTCGTTACTGTTTTCATTGTTTTAGTTTTAATTTTAACTGAACAATGGCGGTTATTAAGTGTAAATGAAATAAGTGTCAACGTTATAAATAATTAAAAATAATTAATAATCATAAATAATTTTAATAGTGGCTTTTATGTAAATGAGTGAATCTAAATCAATTTATCGATAACAGTAACAATTGTTCAAGTTAATTGTGCATCAGAAATAATTGGTTTATAAAACATTGAATAATACACGAGTAGTAATTATTATTTTGCAATATTAATTCTCTAAATTAATTGCTTAAAGATAACGATAACATTTGTTCATTCGTGCGTTCGATTGTGTATGTAAACACGATAAGAAATGCAAGATGGGACCAGGAGTGGGGACGAAGTGAAATCTCAATCAAGAAGTTGTCAACATCAGCAAATCATTTTGTGTTTGTTGTTACGGCTTCTAGTTGATCCACTACTTATTTATAAATATCAAAATGGTAAATTTATATTTATTTTATTATTATTTAAATTTAATTTGTTAATGTCGGTGAAATAATGCTAATTTAGGTTATGGTTTTGCACTTTAGGGGACTGCATTTTTGTGACTTCCATTTGACCTCTGTGTGCTAGTATAAAAATCTAATCTTTTTGGTTAATTTTTTTCTTATCGGTTTTTTCTATAAAAAATAATATTTGGTGTTAAGTAATAAATATCATACTGATATTCTATTACTGTTGCTAAGTGATGGTTTTGTTAGATTAAAATGCAAAAATAATAAGTGCTTTTAGTATTAGAAATTAAATTTAAAGCATGCTTTAGTTGTTGCTATATATTAGCAAATTTTAAACATGTGTTAATTCAACAGATGTTTTCATTTGCATAATTAGTTGATTATCAGTACTTAACATCCTAATTACTGATATATACTAAAATTTCTTGATTTTATGTGTTTGTATATGTTTAAATATAGCATATATAATACTATTATTATAATACCTAACCTTCATTGACTAGAAAAATGTTTCGACTAACATATATGTGCATGTTACGGTTTTATGGATTTTCTATCCTAATTTATTAGGAATGGTGTATCACTGATTTAGTAGTTAGGATTTGCCCCTTACCCTAATAATATTATAATTCTATCCCCTAAAGGCTGATCCAATCCGTGTAGTTGTCACCGGTGCAGCCGGTCAAATTGCTTACTCTCTGCTCTACCAAATCGCAAAGGGTGATGTATTTGGAAAGGACCAATCACTCATTTTACATTTATTGGATATACCACCAATGATGGGAGTCCTAGATGGCGTAGTAATGGAACTTTCTGACTGTGCCTTACCTCTACTTCACTCTGTTGTTCCCACAGCAGACCCTGCTGTTGCCTTCAAAGATGTATCAGCAGCTTTCTTAGTAGGAGCTATGCCCCGCAAAGAAGGAATGGAAAGGAAAGACTTACTGTCTGCTAATGTTAAGATTTTCAAAGTCCAAGGAGAAGCCTTAGACAAATATGCTAAGAAAGATGTCAAGGTTTTAGTAGTAGGCAATCCAGCTAATACTAATGCTTTGATTTGTTCAAAATATGCCCCGTCTATTCCTCCTTCAAACTTTACTGCAATGACTCGTTTGGACCAAAACAGAGCTAAGGCACAACTTGCTGCTAAAATTGGCACAGGAGTCGCTAATGTAAAGAATGTTGTGATTTGGGGAAACCATTCTTCCACCCAATATCCTGATGCAAGAAACGCTGTTGTATGCTTGAATGGTAGCAAGGTTCCCATTCCTGAAGCTGTTAAAGATGATGTTTATTTGCAAACACAATTTGTACAAACTGTTCAAAAGAGAGGAGCTGCTGTAATTTCAGCACGAAAAATGTCCTCTGCCATGTCTGCTGCAAAGGCAGCAGGAGATCACATGCACGATTTGTGGCATGGTACACTACCAGGAGAATTTGTTTCAATGGGAGTTTTATCTGATGGTAGCTATAATGTACCAAGAGACATTATTTTCTCCTTCCCTGTTACTATTGAAAACAAACAATGGAAAATTGTACAAGGTTTACCTATTGATGAATTTTCAAAATCAATGCTTAATACTACTGCCAAGGAGTTACTAGAGGAAAAGCAAGAAGCTCTTGCAGTTTGTAGTCTTTAAATATCAGATACAAATAAATACAAATATATTTATGGGTATTTTCATACAGTTTCAAAAATTACAAATTCTATCAATTGTTGCATACATAAAATAAAACTAATTAAATCTAAAAACTGTGGTATCATTTTACAGAAAGCCTTGCATGCATTTTAAAATTATATTGTCATAATCTTACATGCATTTCTAAATTGACCTGTTTTCTTGCAAATTTTAATATGTTTAGTAATAGACTAATTACAAATAAATAAACTTATCACACATTATCTAAGTATTGGATAGTTTATATTGGGTACAATATATCATAATGCCCAGGTCTATACAAAAGATGGACAGATGGTTTAATGCCATCAGGAAAGTCATGAGCTATAACTTGGCCCCCATCACCACGATCCATATATTCAACTCGCACTCCACTTTTCAGTGCTGTACAAATTGCTATAATATGGATATGGTCAGATTCTTTGTACATAGGCTCAACTTCCTGAAAAAAAAAAGATAATTGCAATTATTTGGGATTAAAAATATGGTTATTAGTATTTCATTATATAAAGACAAAAATGAGATATATATAGTAAATATAAATTACTTGATGACAGAATTCTGCAATTGTTCGATCCCCATCAATAAAGTTCTGGTAGAATTCAGCTCCTTCTTGTAACTGTCCGGATGTTAAGAGTCTTAGATAAACTACCACATAATCCGAGTAACCTTGTTCATTGAACAGCTTATGCAATTCTGAATGTGATTCTGATATTTCTTCAGTTTGAAGTTTTCTAAGTACCTCCATAAACTAAATTATGAAAAAACTTATTATACATAGTAAATAACAAGGATTGTATAAACATCATAGTCTTACGGTATCATGAAAGTCCTCTAATGTGAATTGTGGGAAACCAAGTTCTACTAGCTTTTCTTTGGACTGTTTAGCTAAAACAACAAAGTTTGCAAATTTTTCTTTATCAGTAATCAGTCTTTCTAGATAAGCATAAGAAAATGCACGAAAAAAGCAATTTCCATCAGGCCTTGTTCTTCGAACGGATTTATACTTTGCAGATAAGTCTTTAATTTTTAAGCAGTATACTTCATCAGAAGTGTACTCATTTTGTAGTGATGTAATAGGTTCCAACTCACCTACTAAGGCAATCGACTCTGATATCTAAAATGAAGCAATTATAAATAGAATTAAAATATTACGATAATACAATTTAAAATGCTTTTAAGTTTAATTTCATTAATTCTTATGCGTTCATAGTTTTTTCTGTAGTGTATAATATATAATAATTAGAATTAAGTGCTCGATTTGAAATATATGAAAAATTTTGACTAATATTTAGATGCCAGAGTTATTACTTTAATTTATTTTATTTGTTTTAATTTAAAAATTGCTGAAATCTATATGTCCGAAAGCATTTTACTATATTTTCATAAAACGTGGCAAAATTATTTATAACATTAAATGACTAATTCAACAATATATTTATGAAAATAAAAAAGGCACAGTTAGGTAAAGTTAAATAAATATTAAGACCTCTTTTTCAATTTGACGTTGCTGTTGCAGTATCAATTCATCTTGATTTATAGTGTTTCCATCCGAATTGTTACAGGAGTTGACTTCCATTATTAATATTATATCTAGGAAAAATATTAAAATATTGTGTTTGTCATAAAATTGTTAAATAAAATCGGTTTGATGTTACTTTAATAAGTTTCAAAATCATTCTTTTATTGTAGCCCCATTGATATTGATAGATAATGACAGTCTCAAATGACAGCTGACATTTGACAGATGTGATTCATTTGTAGCGCGAATTTTAAATAAACTAGACACATTGTAATAATTATTCAATTAAACACTAATATAAAACGTTATGAGAGTAGATAAGTTTAATAATTTAATAATTAATTACTTATTGTTAGAAATATTAAATGTTTGTTTCACAATATAAATATTTATCTTGACCTAACTTCACACCACAGTTTTTGTTATTTGAAGTGAAGAACGCACAAGTCGATGTTAACCCTGTTTTTAGTTTGTAAAGTTCTTTTCCGGTTTGTCACCTGAATATGTGAGTACCATATATTTTCTTAATGAAATATTTATCCGTGTTCATCTAGTAGTTTAATTAAATTAAGGTTATTTATTATACTTTTTTATCGTATTTATAGATTATGCTTTAAGTGTATAGTTTTTGTTTTGACCGACTGCGTCATACTTGTTTAATTTTCGTTCCAACAATTAGGCTTGATACTTAACATTCTAATAATTTAGGTTTGGTAGCTTATGAATATTGTTTACGTTAAATATGTTGTAATTCCACTTGTGATAACAGTTGTTAAATAGTTATTCGCAAAATCTAGTGACTAAAATATAATTTACTTCGGTGAAGTGCAACATAACCTCATATTAGCATACGCGTTTTCCATTACCCATTGCTCTTGTTATTATCGCAGTATTAATTTTATTAATAGTGGTATACTATTTTCCAGAAGGGACAATGAAGCAAATCGTAACAAATCAATCTGTGAAGATTCCAGAAGGCCTTACGGTCACTGTGTCATCGAGACAGGTCACTGTCAAGGGGCCCAGAGGAGTATTAAAACGCTCCTTCAAACATTTAGCAGTTGATATTCGTATGGTCAATCCTAGGTTATTGAAAGTTGAGAAATGGTTTGGATCAAAAAAAGCTATTGCTGCAGTTAGGACTGTTTGCTCTCACATCGAAAACATGTTGAAAGGTGAGTTTTAAATTTTGTTCGTATAACATGGCATGATGCCACTCGATTGTTGACTCTATTAAGTTTGTTGTAAAATTTCTATAATTTGCAATTAACAAGTTCAAACTATTTACATTTCATGTAAATTGCATCCAAACAATTAAAAATCCTTAAACTTTAAATGTGTGACAATTTGTGTTGATGATTACAAAGGTTATATCTAATCCGTTTACAACTAAAATGCATTTCATGTAATAAGGCATGGTGTCAATTTTTGAAATTATATCAAGTTTGTAGTCAAATTTCTATAATTACAATTAACAAGTTATGCAAACTATTTACGTTTCATGTAAATTGCATCCAAACATTAAAAACTTTAAATATGTAACAATTTGATTGTGCTGATGATTACAAAGGTTTTATCTAGTCTGTTTACACCTAAAATGATTACTCTCTGTGATTAGAATTGTTTATTTGGAGTTCATCATCAATCATAATACTTTTTGCATTTTGTTTCTAATGATTGATTAATGGAGACGGATTGATTAATGGAATTTTCTGCTCTTGTTAAACCAAATAATGGGAACCAAATCTATGAGGAACTAGTATTTTCAAGTTGTTTATACTATTTTTATCAATTACCTTTATTTTAGGTGTAACCAAAGGTTATCAATACAAAATGCGAGCCGTATATGCTCACTTTCCCATTAATTGTGTGACCACGGAAAACAACACAGTTATCGAAATCCGTAATTTCTTGGGAGAGAAATACATCAGACGGGTAAAGATGGCCCCTGGTGTTACAGTGATGAACTCCCCCAAACAAAAGGACGAGCTGATCTTGGAAGGAAACTCCTTGGAAGATGTATCTAAATCAGCTGCATTAATCCAACAGTCGACCACTGTTAAAAACAAGGATATCAGAAAGTTCTTGGATGGTCTTTATGTATCTGAAAAAACTACAGTTGTTCAAGATGAAATATAATAAATTACTTCTATCCTTGTACATTCAAGCTTTTGATTTAACCCAACCATATTTCCATTTGATAAAATTCAAAATTCAATGCAAGTGTGACTTAAATTTTTTGATTCCAGCTAATAATTGTTTGAAGTTTTAATAATATTTATACATAAATGACCATCTTAAATCAAGTTTTTAAATCAAGAACAGAAATTTATAGTATTCAAACATGTTTGGCAAAAATTGTTTTCAAGAATTACATTCACATAGGAAGTAAATTTAAAGTTAATGATCTTAAGTGATAAAAATTTTCACTGCCGCCTTCATGTAGCAGAAATTTAAACCATAAAATTTGATTTTATGACATAGATAACAGCACTGTTTGCTTATGGAAAAATCATTTTTCGTATTTTCAGAACTTGACATGGTTTAATGCAACTCATCTTTTATTAGGTAAACGAGGCTGCTCTGATCAAATTTCAAACAACTCAACAACATATTGTTAACCAGGCCTTCTATATTCATATTTCTTTCAGAAACATACTTAACAATTATTGATTATACTCTCAAGTTAGGGTATTTGCATATTGGATGGACTCGAGTAATCAAGGTATAGCACAGGATAATTATACTAAAAAAAATTACAAGTGTTGTGATGGATGCTTTGTGTGAAACCTAAAATTTATTTTGCTTAAATTTTATAATATATTCTAATCGTTCGAATTCTAATAAGTAATACCCACCTCGATTTAATGTCCCTTTTTCTTAAAATTATTCTTAAAGTGGCTTAATGACTTTCATCTGATATCGTGTTCGAGTTCAACTTACAAAACATATGAAAATATGTGCACACTTAGATCAGATGATATATGTATTTTGAAAATACTCAATTTTACATAAATGAAAGTTCAGTAAGTTTATAAAGGGGCGTTATATATTTGCTATTTCTCAAACTTTTCAGCGATTATTTAAACTTTTGAATTATTTCTTTATCATAAGGAAGAATCATATGCGTTTTTATCGAATTTTGAATAGAGTTCTAGATGTATGTTTTTTAAGGTTTATTGGAAAGATAACACCTTAAAGGTTTATAGGCTAAATTAGCCGCATTGAAATAAAATACAGTATTTGTGTTCCATTTTAGTCAATATATTTTTTTTGTATGTAGTGATATTTTTACACCAGTCCTGAAATGGATAACAAGTAAAACTGTAGGATTAAAAGAAGGCTTTAAAAATACAAAATCTTGTGAATATCATCTGAGATATTTCGATAATTCACATGTTTAAGTCTTGCTCTTGTGATGCAACATAGTCTTCAGGGAAGTGGGTTTGCATGATCCTCGAGGCGGCTTTTGTAATTGGCTGAATATATTCGTATTTCATAATTTATTGTGTATATTTCTTCATATATTGGGGACCAAAAATTTCATTTTAATGGTATTTAACCCTTTTGAATATAATACAAAGAATATTTCAGGTATTTGGGTAACAAGTTCAAAAATAGGTAAAATCATACTGCAATTTGATTTACAAAGTTTTTCAAGTTTGTGTCATGGGTATGAATGCGAGATTTGGTAGAATATGTGAAATTTACATTTATTAACATCAAAAGACATCATATCAATCGTTTTTGATTAGAAGTCACAATAGACATCTGAATTAAATTTCACCAACAAAAATTAACTAACAGTAAATTTCTGTCCTGTTTTCTAAGATACTTTTATGTATTTTTTTATTAGATTTTATGGAAAATAATTTACTGCTAGTTAATTTGTTGGCGAAATGTAGTTCAGATGTCTTTAGACAATGGTATGCAAGATAGCATCCAGGATGCGACGTTGTCAAATCTTGCACCAATTATTTATTATAAATGCACTATCAGATCCCCTCCACTTTGCGCCCTTATAAATAATACTGCAAATTTATTTTAGCCAGTATTTGTCGGGTAGACCTTTTTGTGAACGCATGTCGATAGCTGGTGCATCTCGCGCCGAAATATTGCTCCACGTGCCGGTTATTAAGTACGTAGAATGGACTAAAATATGATGAAGTGAATGTTAAATGTGTGTTAAATCATAAATTCTGTTTGGTTTTATCAATTTTAATATATTGGTGTTTAATATATTGCATCACACCGTCGTCATCCATCATTTAAATCACAACTAGTATCACATCATGTGCCGGTGAATAAGTACATATAATGGACCAGAATTTAGTGAGATGTATGTTAAATGTGTGTTTAATTATAAATGAGTTGTACGTTTATGGTTCTATGAGTTTTATTATATCAATGTTTCATATTATAAGTTGGCGTGGTAGATGTGAAAATTGCGATGCAACCATGATGCAAATGGATGGTCTATAATGACGCCAAGTAGTTTGCTTTGAAGTCGGGCGGCGCATGAGGCGTTTTTCTCATTTAACAATTACTATAGAAGTATATGCTCAGTAAATCTTTAGATTTGGTTCACTTTTAGGTGTGGATTTATTAGTTTTTAGTATATTTATTATAACAGTTTGTACAAATGTGGTGAAACCAAGACGCAAAATGATGGACTGGAATCACGGAGCAAGGACTTGTGTACAAGGTAGGAAATAATTATTGAATTTACTTTTGTTCAAACATCAGAAGAGTGCCTGTAAGAGCTACAGAAAATTCAGATTATTTTTAACACAAGTTGCACGCGCAATAGAAGTTTTAACTAAATATTTTACTATTGATTTAAAGACTATTTATTATAAAAGTAGGTGCATTTTTCAGCATTCGTGTAACATAAGAAATAGATTTATGTTATGGTGCATTATATGTACTATTGTGCTAAGTCTGATCAAAAGTATGATACATTATGTGTACCACCAAGCCTGTAAGAATTGAAACAAGGGTGGACAACACGTGGTCGGTGGGCTGCATTTTATGGTGCATTATATGTACTATTGTGCTAAGTCTGATCAAAAGTGTGATACATTATGTGTACCACCAAGCCTGTAAGAATTGAAACATGGGTGGACAACACGTGGTCGGTGGGCTGCATGCGGTTTCCAAGCATCTCTCGAATAATATTTTGTTTACTATAGTAACTTTCTTATATTAATACATTTATTTTAGTGTACTCTTTCCTTGTTGCCTAAGTTTATAAAAAAAATAATTTTTAAAATTTTGTAAATTTTATTTTTGTTGTCAGTTTATATTATTATGTTTATTAATAACTAAGTATTCTTAGTTTATCTTGCATAGTATTCTTTAGTTTTTCTTCCATATATCGTAACTTCGTATTTCAAACGATTTCGCCTATTCTCAAAATTAGAAAATCTTGAGAAAATTATATGAATAATTCGATATGTGTGTATCGAATTATATATCGGTTTATTCATAATTTTATTATTCATCTTTAGCCCAAATAAAGCTTTAATGTATATATCAAACTTTGTAAATTATTAAGTGCGGCCCGTCACAAAATTTTAGAATTTAAATGCGGCCCATGAGACAGAGGATGCTTCTGTTCAACGGATATGTGTTAATTATTAATATATCAACAAATATTTAATTTTTGTAATATATTAAAACAAACATTATAAATTTAATTTCCGATTTCTTGCTACTGTAGAAAGTAGACTTTTCATTGCTCTGGAAGATGGTTCCAGATTCTATATTGGACTACATGATATCATGCAGCAGTGTTATAGGTTTCCACATTAAAATATATATCGGAACATGTATCCGAGTGAAAATAGTGGTTTCCCATGAAATTCCAATTGTTTTCTAAGCGAAAATGCATCTAATTAAAAATAAGTATTGGGGAAATTATGAAAAAAATATATCGAATGGGTATAGGCCAACCGCTTGGTTGTCTTCTAAGATGAAACATTGTTAGAAAAGTGTTCTTCACTCCAGCTCTTACAACTAGCGTAACATGTACTTCTAAAATATTTTTTAATGAACTGTTATTATACGCCGCATAGTAATGCGACAAACCAGGGTTTACATTTTTGGTAAATTTCATAAAATTACTTTGTCTTTATTCCATAACTTTTGAAAAGGAGACTAACAAATCTATAGTATTCATACAAAACTATCTATCAGGCTTTTAGTTTTTCTAAATCATATCGCTGTTTAGGGTTTTTCGTGGTGTAGTGGTAATACCTATGGACTTCGAATCAGAACTTCTCAGAGCTCTTACCCAGCGTAGCTGCACAAATAAGAAAAATCAGTATCACAAAAATTGTAATAATAAATTCATGACACAGAGATAAGATAACCGTTTGAGTTGCCATCTATTTCAAACCAAGTCCTTTAAGAATTATTTCTGATTTACTGACATAAGCAGGGCCGGCTTTAACACTACCAGCGCCCTGGGCGAGATTTCTACGGCGCCCTTCACCTGCAATTCAAACCCATTTGGACAAAAGAAAAACATCTAATGAAATAACCGTTTATTAAAAAAAATTTATTATAAAAGATAACCATTAATAGAACCACTAATAGAATTTTACTTTTCTGGCCTTTCTATCAGCAAACTCTTTTATAAGGTGGTCGAAGTCGATGTTTTCAGCAATTTCGTTCTCAATTGACACAGTTGCTAAGTTTGTCAATCTAGATTGCGAAATCGCTGATCGAAGATAGGTTTTTATTAGCTTCAGCTTTGAAAAGCTCCCCACTAGCAACCGTTACAGGTATAGTTAATAAAATTCGCAACGATATCCATACATTTGGATACAGTTCTTGTAAGTTGAAATCGTTGATGAAATTTAAAACAAAAATGGGAGTAACCACATTTTTATCAGGTGGGATGCCAGACTTATAAGTTCATCACATAACATACTACCATCTATGTCTGATTTAGAGTCTACAGTTAATTTTAATTGGAGATCACTACAGAGCTTGAGAAGGTCGCGTTTTTCTAAAGACCAATATTCCGAGTACTCATTTAACTGTTCGAACCTTTCATTGATTGAAATTAATGTCCAAAAGACAGTTGAAAAATTCAACCTCAAATTTTTTTTCTGGAGAAGTTATAGGGTCATCGCGTGCAATTTCACCAGCTTGACGCTCAATTTCTAGTTCTTCAGCCAACTCGTTCGCAGTTAAAATAGCGCTTTTAAAGCCCGTATTTCTGTAGTCTTCCAAAAAATTGCAGCATTTTTTCAACATTTGTGTACATTTACCAAGATCCATATCTGTTGACTGTGGAGATTTACTTACAACATTTATTTGATGAAGTATGTCATACCAAACAACCAATGAAACTATGAAGCTGAAATCTTTTAGTTGTTCGGCTAGAGTAGTAGCTTCATGAGACATTTGAACATCAGTTTTCTGAGTTTCAAGAGCCAAAGTAATCAAAGCATCATGGATAGTACTAATTTCATAACGGACTACTGTAACACTACTTATTCTTGCTTCCCAACGAGTGTCACTGTGCTTTTTATAGTATATAGTCGCAAGTGATCGGTTAGAATTTTCCATCGATGAACAGAAGCTGAGTGGTCCGAAATATCACCCTTCATAGCTAATCGCAAGTGCTCCTGCATGACTAGATGAAATTTGGCTAGTATTTGTACAAAGCCTAAGAACTTTCCGTTATTTGGCGTATATAGTTTGTCAGAAGTGCCTCTGAGTGCCATATTGTTTTCGGCTAAATAAAGTGTGATATGCATCAATCTAGACAAAACATTATTCCATCGTTTTTTCTATTTTTAATCGTAGTTCAGCTTCAATCCATGAAAAAGTAAAACTTCTTATGAAAAGTGCTATTTTCATGATTTTTTAATACTTCAGACAAGTATTTCCAGTTGTTATACCCTTGAGATACTAAGTTCGACGTTAAGCTACTATCAAATAGTCTACAACAAAAACAATAAACTCGATCCTTAGAAACGGAGTAAATTAACCAACGGCGCTGAATTGTTTCATTGTTTGTAAGAATTTTTGTGAAATGAGAATTAGAGAAATGTCTGCCTGCATCATTCTTCGGATAATTATCAATGCGAGTTTGCACTGGGCCACTAGTAATTATGTGATCAATGATTTTGCCATTTCGAGTGACTGGCCAAGTGGCCAAGTTCGCTATCCCATGCGAATGAGCTGAGTTTGTTACGCTTCGCTACAATAACGCTAGTTTTTTTTATACCAAAACGTTAAAAGGACAATGTGTTTTGATAATAGACAAAAAAACGCTTAATTTGGGGAATTTACGACTAAGCAGACCTCGAACTATGAGCATCAGCTGGGGGGCGCCTGCAGCGCCCCTTTTTGCCGGCGCCCAGGGCGGTCGCCCACCTCGCCCTACCCTAAAGCCGGCACTGGACATAAGTCAGAACAGCAACTCACAGGGACTATTTAAGTTCTGATATCCAGTTTTTAAAAACATAAATTAAACGTATTCCTTTTTTATTTTAACTTTCTCATTACATTTTTTAATCAATATTCGACTTGACAACTAGTAGGTATCGGTAAAATTTGTTTCTCTGTTATTGTCGATCTAACAACGATTTATACCTTCGTTAACAAGTTTTCACACAATCAACGTATTATTCCTTGAATATTTGAAATATAATAATGAAACCTTATTCTACTATACGTTGGTGTTATAGAAATATCTGTACATATATATTCTTGGCCTTTTGTGCTACCAGAGCTCGGGTTAATAGAGGTTGCTTTACTGTGTAATAAGTTTTCAAGGGCTTTGAGTCTCGCGAGCAATGCAGAAATATTCACGAAAATTAAGTCATTGCGGACCAAATTTCTGAACGAACATTCCTCTTTATTTTATTATAATTAAAAGCAAAATTGCACGTCTGCGGTGTAAATTTCGGCTTTTGTTAAAGGTTGTTCAATATTTCTTCGTCGTTACTTCTATAAACAATATTTAGTCAACAGCTAACAAATGTACTAGGATTATACCAAGCACAAAAAATTAGATTTTCGATTTTGTTTTTGATTGACATCCAGCAAAGCATGTAAAATCATACATTGTTATTATTCACACATTTTTTTCTGGAGCCTGGGCCATAAAATGTTGGATTTTTTCCCTCTTTTACCAATAACCGTCAGAACATAAATAAAATTTATAAGTTTTTTTTCATATACATTTCATATAATTATAGATAGCAGTTACCCCAGTGGGTAGTTAATATCAGCTATAATTTATTGGATCAAATTCTGATGTAACAATTAGATTAGGATGACTTCTTAATGCTTGAGCAATTTTGGTAAATTTATGGTACTGATAAGATAATTATATAATTGGTGTATGTACAGTGCACACTCTTTTGTGAAATGTAGTAGTTCCATAGATCAATTCAAACCTGTTTTTCTGCCAAGTAGACATAATTTGATCGATTAGTTCAGACCTGTTTTTTCTGCCAAGTAGTCGTATTTTTTGACCAATTTTTTGTTTTGCTGTTTAAACAGAAATCAGAATTTTGGTATTCTATAACCTCTTATAATGATCAATTGTTGAGATAATTATTTTCACTATTAGATGACAACCAAATGGTTGCCCCATCTATCATTTATTAAACATCAACCAGGGCATAAGTTTTATAAGCTGCAGTAATGAAACTTTGTGAACGGCGTCAATTTTTTTAGAAGGCAACCCTTATCTATATGTAATATATTTTTATCACATTGCTATTTTTTAATACTGACTGTTTCATTCCCAGCTTGTCGAGGTGGTAATTGAATCTGGGACCCTGTTGTTGCAAGTTCGAAACTTTTTACTATTTGTTTTTATTGAAAGACGACCTAGTAGTCAATCTAACGATTTTTTTAAAAACTTTTTGCATTAATGTACGAAAGAGCTATTTTCATTTGTAACGTTATTCAATATTTTTAATTAAGTTAATAAATATTTTCAGTAATATTGAATTAAATGTAATTCAGTAATATGAATTAAATGTAAATTTTTGCTGCTCTTAATATTTTATTAGGTTAAACGGAGAGTTTGGATTCTATTGAGTTGTGTCTAATAGATTTAAAAAAAAACATGCAAATTCGTGTTCATATTCAGGTTCATATAAATTACTAACATTTATTTTTGCTTAGACATTACTTCATGGACGGAAGCTATAGAATTTTATATAATTTGTACTCATAAACTTTCTTGAATTCCTGCTTTTGATGGTATCTTCACAGATTTGAACAATGTTTAGAGTTATATCAGAAAAATTTAAAAATATGTAGAGAGCAGAATTTTCCAACTAATTAGGAACTGTTTAGAATATGAGTCTATTCTACCAAAAAATCAGGGCCAAATAATTTCTAAAATTCATAGAAAAAATCATTTACCTGAATGAAATTATTAACTTTAACGTATTACTTGGCCAGCTCGGTATCAAGCAGTATGATATCAAATATCCACTTGAGTTTATATAGATTTGAAATATAATGTAAAATAAAAATCGCTTATCGAAAAACATTTATATTTATAAAATTATAAAATTTTAAGTATTAGTGCGAGATAATTTTTTTTTCATTTTAACTTAAATTAGCAAGCATTTTTAATTAGTTTATATTATTAATTTTTACTTCAGTAGACAGTTCTTACTGCATATCAAGTGATTTTTCTTTCATTCTACATGTAACCTCACAATAATTTACACTGGTGTTTACATGCATTCTATTTCTATTGCACTTGCATTTGTGCACCTGAGACGGAAGGATGGGGTGCTGCGCATTTCATATATGGCGGAAGTTGTTATTTACCTTCAGGAAACATAGATACGCATTTGAATAGATACCGTGTAACTGAAATAAACATGAGTATGTACAGCATTAATTTATCATACCTATAAATCTTCTGGGCGAAACGCTTTAAATTGTTCGTTACATAATGGATTCAAAATTTAGATCATAGAAAAATTAAAATATTAAATTAGATTTGAATAAAGGTTCGATTTTGCCACATGACAGAAAAATGTTATCGCAAGGCCATGTTACGCTCCAACTTCCATACATCATGCTACTGAATCATACTGAATGCTGTCAAAATGTCTTGTATTTGCTGTGCATTCAGGCAGTTTTACACATAAAGTGCAACGTCACTTGTATGTTATGAAGCTGAGTCATAATGACCCTGTTATCTAAGATCGTTTTTTCGACATTTGCGGATTTTAGGTTAGGTTTTCTATCTGACAACTTAATAAATAAACTTGACTGCACACCAACCACATGGCTTTTGACAATAGTTAGTATGGAAAGTTCTTCATAACATGGCCTTGCCTTAACATTTTTCTGTTATGCGGCAAAATAGGTCCCTAAATGTAGGGGTTTTCTGTAGTTTAATGGTTAAGGCTGTGGGATTCTAATCAGCAGATTTCAGGTTTACTCCCCGCTTTCGGTAGTCTGATGCCAAGCAGTAGTAGCATACCAAAAACGGCCGCACCGACTTAAAAAAAAAATCGAAGAAACTCTTTGAGAATCTACGTTGATTAGTTTTCTTTTATTGGCCAAGCATTTTATATAAAAACTAGTGAAAAATACTGAATATTTATGTTAAGAAGATATTAATTGTCTTTATATGATATGAAGATATTAGTTGGGAATCGTGCTAATTAGTTTTTGGTAATTTTTTTGTGATTATTTGAACAATAATTTTTGTTTGACGATGTTAATGAATCTTTGAACGGCGAAGGAGTTCATGGTCTTAATGGATATTCTGGAATATCATAACTTTAAGGCAAGTGGTTTAACTATTAAAATTTAGTAAAATTAGGAATCGGCTATACTGTTGGTTGCATACATTATGTATGTTGTGAGCGTGTCATGATATCATGAATAGACTATTGTACCATTGTACTGTATATTTGTTTGAAAGATCTCATTTAAAAATTGATTTCATTTTTTGATTACTTAGAACTGTTGAAATTCTACCTAAATAACTCAATCTGATTTTTTGTTGATAAAGTCCATTATCCACACATATCTGAAAGTATATTAAAACTTGCTTTAATGCAAATTCTGATTACTAATTTCTGATTTCTGGCTTTTTATTCTAATACATTGTAGTTTGTTTAATGATGATATCATCGCATCTTTTTGCTTTTGACAATCAACAATAAACCTATTTACCCTTTTACTCCTATGCTTTGCCTAATTATTTACAATTCTTTATTAATTATATTTAATTTAGTATTTTGGAAATATTTTTAGATATAATTTTTTAGCGTTTTGAAAAGCAATCAGAGCTTAAGAGTTCTATAAGATGCTGGACTAATTTGACTAAACTGTACGTTATTTATTTGTAAACATATTGCTATCTATATTTCCAAGTGAAAATTCATGTCACTACTGCTTGATATCGGGCTCCTCGAAGCGGGTTCGAACCCGGGACCTCTGATTCAGGTCCAGTCGCTCTTACCATTCACCAGTGAATCCTTGGATAAAATCATATCAATAAAAATTTTCAAAATTTTATTTTTTGCATTACGCCATCAAATGTGTTTTTAGTTCTAATACAGAATTTA